AAGCCATTAATTCTGACAAAAATTGGAAAGGATGCGTGGGGGAAAGCAGAGAGTCATGTTTTTCACCTTCTACAGTTTCATGAAACACATTGTTAAACCCTGCGAAGCCAAAAGGGTATATTCAAGTGCACTAAGGTGTAAATTTTCATTTATTATCCACATAGTTTTCTTCTCAGTTAGAACTGAGAGAGTGCCTGTCCCTCCCTCTGGATTCAAGAGATCGTTTTTTTACAAGTAGTGCTTGAGCTGAGAAAGAGTAAGTGGGAACAGTCCTTAGATTTCTCTCTGGAGATTTGGTTCTGCCACAGGAGCAGAGGCACATTACTCTATAACATTCTTTTTTCTATGTTCCTCAACCCTCATCCCCTCCTCCCTGATCTTTTCCTTCCCTTTTCCCTCCCGTTCTCTTCTTCGTTTCTAATCTACATTCTTCCATGACTCTATTTACCAAAATAGTGGTTTAGTTGGACACATAGGTTAAGGGGTGGAAGGTGCAGTGGCCTGGGGGAGGAAAAGGCAAGCCCCAAGGTCTGGGTGTGGGCAGGGAGTGAGGGAAGAATTGCTTTATGTCCTTCTGCTCGCCTGCCCCCTGCCTCCTTCACCCCTTAGCATAAGTCAAGGATTTCAATATCTTAGAATAAGAACAAGAGATGGGAAGAGCAGTTTGTAGGATAGAAGATGATGGTGGCTTGCACCTGGGTTGTTGCAGTGAGTATGGAAATAAATGGTTGGATTCTGCTTATTTTTTGAAGGAAAACGCAGAATTGTCTGCGGGAAAAAAAAAAAAAGGACAAAGGTATAGAGGAAGAGAAGAGACACACATCGCCTCAAAAGGACTTGCCGTGCACTAGGATGGGAAAGTGTCTAGAAAGAGCTGGTTGTTTTTTTGTTTGTTTTTTGTTTGTTTTTGTTTTTTTTTTTTTAAGGAGCTGGTTGTTGAGGACGAAGAGAAGAGAGGGAGCCCAGTTTGGGGCATGGTAATTTGGAGCTGTGAGGAGGAGGCCTTTTGTTTTTAATTAGAGTTCTGGGAAAAGGCCTAGGCTAGAGTTGTGAATTTGGGCATCATCACAACTAAAGTATTTAAGCCACGAGATTAAATGAAATTACTTAGGAAGGGCATGGAAACTAAAAAAAAGGTAGTGCCCCAAGGAGTGAGCTTTGGAAGGTGCCAGCACTAGAGGATGGGAGCTGAAGGAGGACCAGCAGAAAGCCATTCGGATGAATAAGTACTCAGAACACGCGATCACTGTTTTAGTCGTACTTTGATTAGCAATTAGAGTTTATGAATACTAATGTTATCTCACTATGTGCTTTTCTTTACAACTCCAAAATAAGACACCTCTGATAACAACACACACATGCCCCTGTGAGTTACGGGCGTGTGTGTGTTTTCTAATTAAATTGATATATAATTCAATAGAGGCGTATTTAAGTGGTGTAGATATACAGGAGTATACCTTAATTCACTATTTCATCAATAGAAGGATATTACAAAATGAATTTCAATTTTCATTATCCATGATTTGCTATATATTATTTACATCCTATAAATTTTTTTATTTTATATATATATATATATATATATATATATATTTTTTTTTTGTCCAGGCAAATGCTTTTTCTTTCTTCTGGTTTTGTCTGATTGATAGTTGGTTCAAGTGTTTAGATTCAGTTTAAATTTCAGACCACTATAAAATAGAGTTTGGCTATATTCTTTTTATCTCAATAATTAAATTATACTCATGACTTTCCATTTAAGAAGCTATAACTATTAAAATATATGACATGTTTAAAGAGTAAAGCGCTGAATAGGTAAAGGAAATTTATGTACACTTAAAATTATTTTGTGGGTGGTGATATTTTTTTTTTCCATGCCATACTATTTCATCCTGGACATCAACATTGGCTTTTATTGCGGAAAATGAATCTTTCTGCCTCACTAGGTAAGATGCTCATCGTTAAATGACTTAACCGGGAGAACCAATGCCTGCTATGTAACTTTGATCCGGTGGAGACGGACTTAGGAGCAGGGGCAGGGGTTATGGGAGTGTCCCACGATGGAGACTGGGGAAGAAGAGGAAGAGGAAAGGGAGTATGATGAAAACCCAAGGGCGGCAGCATGAGGAATGAGAAGGGAAGTGAAACAACCTGTGCTAGATACACAGATGGAGTCCAAAGCTAGTCTTGTAAAGGGTATCATGGAAATGAGTCGAACTCAAGCGCGAGGAACTTGAAACGTAGTTAGAACAAGAAAAAGGACTTTTTATCAGAGTCCTGGTGTAGCGAGATCAAGATTTAGAGGAGATTCACAGCCAAAAGTGCTCAGCTATGCCTCCGCGTTGGATTTCCCAAGGGGGTCGTAACAAATGCTACAACCCGCCGAAGCCGAATCTTTTAGTCTTGCCAGGGAATCTGCATTTTTTAAAAAAACACCAGGCCCTCTCCTCATCCCCAAGTGATTCACATGCCTGCCTGCTAAAATTTGAGGACCACCGAACTAGCAATAGGGAAAGAACATACAAGAAACAAATCTTGAAAAGGCCTGCAGTAGACGCAAATGGAGAGGAATTCTAAAGGAATTTGCAGAGTAAAGCCTATGTAGGAAAAAAAGAATAATGAAGGTAGGGGCACCTTGGTGGCTCAGTCGGTTGAGCGTCAGACTGTTAGTTTTTGCTCAGGTCGTGATCTCAGAGTCCTGGGGTGGGAATTCAAGCCCCACCCGGGGCTCTGTGCTCAGCGCAGTCTACTTGGAATTCTTTCCTCCTCCCTCCCTCTCCCCCTCTGCCCCTCATCCCTGCTCTCACACCTTGAGTGCACACATACTCTCTCTCTCTCAAATAAATAAATGATAGATGGATAGATAGATAAATAAATAAATAAATAAATAAATAAATAAATAAATAAATAAAATCTTTAAAAAATAATAATGATGAAAGTAGGTACCGTTCAGGAATAAAGTAACGGGGAACTTGCAGGGAGGTATGACATGAATACAGATGGAAGGCAATGGTGACAGGAGTCAAAAGAGTGCATGGGATTGCTTCGTGAGAGGGCAGCCGTGACCCCCTCGGAGAGGTCAGTTATGGGAAGAGAAAGATGGAAGATCACACATGGCCCTGAGAACTCTGCTCTTGAGCTAAGCCGTGGGAGGCCTGTGGGCACAGAGAGCGCAGCCGTGGCGAGGGGCCACCAAGCAGCTCCTGCAGGTTACAGGTCTGTGGTTAAGTCTCTCTCTGCTGTCGGAGGAGCTGGCTATCAAACACCATCCCCACCCCATGGCCCACCGAGATCTTTAGATAATCATTTTCTTTGCAAAAATAACACGGCGTGGTTTCATTTCCTAGTCCACTGTGTCTTACAGAGAGATGAGTAAGGGGACACCGCAGGCTGTGATTCTTGTCGGGGGCCTTAGCACACTCCCCCATGAGATCAGATGAACCAGAAAAAGTTAGGATAACTGGCAGGGACAATTGTTTTCCTTCTCCTCCTCACCATTGTTCTTTGTTCATTTCCTTTAATTTGCATTGCAATATGCATAATAAGTAGTTATGTTTTATTTTTAGGCTCCCACTTCTGAAACGTGAAAGTCTGTGAGTGCAAAATTAAGAGCAAATTCTCCTGTCGCACAGTAGCAACGTGTTTCTGAGCTTTCACAAGCCTGTATCCCTCCTCAGCTTCTTGTCCTATCTTCTGAATAGTCCAAGCAACCAAGGATGTTTCTTTTAATCATTGAGATAAACAAATAAATAAGATAACAGGAATATTCATTGTACGTTTATAAAAGGAGTGTTGTCTTCCTGCAGAAACTGATCCTTTCCCCTAAAAATCATTAGTGTAAATGGAGAGGGAGGGAGAGTGCTCCCTAGATGTTAATTTTTCTTACTGGATTCTAAGATTTGTAAATAAGAAATGGAATTATGGGAATTTTAATAATTTAACTGGTAAGTGTAGAGAAAATACTCAATAAATACTCAGCACAGGTTGCAAGGTGTACCTGAAAAATGCTTTGACAGCCGGATGCAAAGGGATGTAAGCAGGTGCTTGCACCAACCATGTCAACTTGCCCATTCTTTCTCTTTGGCTGGTATTTTGCTGGTTTTTTCCCTCCCCTGCTGAAATGCCTCCTTCGTCTCTCGTAATCCAAAGATTCCTTCATTCCATGGAATCCTAATCCTCATAACCCTCATAGTATGCTTGACCAATTCATAGGTGATGATTATAAAAGTCAGTAATTTTTCAATTAGTGATCAATTTTAGATTTTTTTTAAAGTCAAATGAGAAACCACTGGGAACAAAATGGGTAGTGATACGACAGCACAATGACATTGTTATGCTATAGATATTCTTGTTCTATCCATCCAATAAATTTCTCCTCATGCCCACTTGGCATTAATTTATTTTCTTCCCATTTCTTGGCTATTAAAATTTACTCACCCTGCCCTATGTCTTATGGGGGAAAAATAGAGGTAGTACTTATTGAACGCTTGCTCCGTGTTAGGCACTATTTTAGGCATTTCACATGAATGATGGCAAATCGTACCCACCTCTTAGAATTCTTACATATTTATTCCTAATTTCCTGTGGAGGAAACTGAAGTCTGCCTAAGGTCACCCAGCTAGTAGGTAGCAGAGCCAGGATTTATATACAGATTAGCCTGAATATAAAAGCTCATAGTTTTCCCTCTCTACTAATGTGACTTCAAGCTTTATTAGCAATTAACAATAATTTGTTTTGAATACTGACACCTGATGTATGTAATTGTAAAGAATCTTCCTGGTGATTTAGAAGTGGTTCACTTTTAAAATCTTAAAAAAAAAAGAATACCTTGGTCTTAAAAAAATACCTTGGTCATTTTACCTAAAAACCTCTTAGAATGGTTCTGATCTGTCCAAAAGGAAGTCCTGCTATTTGGAGTTCTGTGTCTCATTTGCCGTCTGGTACTAGGGGCTGCAAATTCTTTCTGCTTTTTGTGTAACTTGTCTTTATCTTTGTTGTTCCAGTACTGGATACCAGTTTATTTACTATTCACCTGAAAACACAGCCAAAGCAAAAGAAGTTCTCAGCAACATCAATCAACTACAACCTCTGATAGCAACCCATGCAGACCTGCTGCTTAATTCTGCAAGCCAGCATTCTCCAGACAGCTTGAAGAATTCTTTAAAGATGCTTTCAGAAAAAGTAAGACCCAAATCACCACTACAGTGGGGAAAATGAAATCCCCAAATCCCCGTTGGTGTTGCTTTCTGCATACATTGCCTTTCATAGCATCTGGAAATGTAAAATAGCCTAGGTTAAAAAGTAAGCTTCAAAGTATCGCCACAGGATCAAAACGAGCTGGCCTCATTCTCTTTTCCAGTCTTACTAAGCATTAATTTTTTTGAGTAGGAGATGTAACCTGTTATTGGCTGAGGTACATTTTCTCTTTTCTTCTTGACATCTATCATTCTCTTTGGTTCGTGGGCTTATTAAATGAGTTAAATTAGATTCTGAAAATTACTGTCCTCTGGCGATCAACTAATTTGTATGCATATGAAGCTATACATTTGAATAGGAATGTCATGTCATTTGAAAGCAGGACTCTGATGTGGCTTCCTATCGGCAGCATGGGGTAATCCTCTGTCTCAGTTTGCTTTCTGCAACCTTATCTGCTGGGAGAAGGTTTTAAAAGTTGCCAAAAATAATAGCTATTGTTTGGAATGTAGTGGGACCTAAGCCTTGATTTTTTTCAAAGGTGACTTGCCCTGGTGTATGCAAAGAGGAAAGGGAGGCTAGCATAGGGTAAAGACTCAACATCAACTTCCATAACTCATGAAGGCAGCTGAAAGGTTCAGAGAGAACCAAGACAGAAAAGATAAGTTGCAGCTCGATTTTCAATGTAAAACCAGTACACTCATCCTCAACCTTTGCATTCCGAGGACATCTTGCAGTTTCTTTATATTTCCAATAAATATGACCTTGAAGCAACTGAACAAAAAAAAAAAAAAGAAAGAAAGAAACTCTCATGGTATCTTTTCAGAATAAGGTAACTGTAGTTTGTCATGGCCCTAAAGAAGAGATTCATAGAAACCTGAGAATTATATATATATATATATTTATTATTATTACTATTCACATATGTTAATTTATAATATTAAAACCTAGCACTTAGTGAACATTTTAATGTGTCCATTATCATATATCTCCTTACAGAAAAAAACTAATGTCTGTTTTCTTTAAAAATTAGCCAATACCTATTCAAAAAAGTCAACTGAATTGTCTCATAAATCAAGAAGTGAAAAACGAAAACCTAAGATATCCAGTTCAAAATTCATCTCTCTTTCCATGACATAACAGGTACTTCCATCATGAAAAGGAGAGAAAAAAATGACCCATATTTTACAGATACCCTACTTTACCCAATATTGTGCTCTATGACTTACATTATTTCATTTAATTTTCAAATTTAAATTTCAAATCATGGGTGCATATTATCTCCATCTCACAGAGGAAAATGGCCAAAGCTCAGAGAAATTTTTTAAAAAGATGTATGAAATCGTGCAGCTAGAGTCAAAGGTAGGATTCAGACAAATCCTAGGCTCAAATCCAGGGCTCAAATCCAGACCTGACTGATTCTGGAGTGGAAAATCTTTCTGGTATCCCCTGTGTAATATATGTATTTTGACGTTTCCTTCTTAAAAATTTTTTAAGCATCTTTTGTTACTCCTCAGTAATACTCCTCAGTAATACTTAGGTATCCCAATAGTCAATAAACATCTCTAATAGTCAGTACATATGTCAGTACATATGTAAGTACATATGTCATAACTAGAAAAAAGCAGAGGGAAAGAGGAGAGTGTAATTATACTCTTATAATTATAAAAATATAATTATAATAAATAATTATATTATTTAGCATATAGTAAAATAATATAATTTCATTTTGGTTGATTTCTTTTTAGGATTTGTAGATGATGGGAGGTTTTTCTACATTCACCTGAGCAGACAATCTTTGCAAATGGCCTATTACTACAGTGATTACAGAGCAGGATTTCTATGCTCCTATACATTGGCCAGGGGCTCGTCATTTCATACATCATTTACAACTTGCCGCAATGACTGGGGCGGGGGGTGGGACAGGGTGTGTATTTTTTCCGTTAATTCAGCATTGCTCCAACTTTGTCCCCTATGTTTTTCTTTTTTTTTTTAAAACTTTTTTTATATATATTTTTTAATTTTTATTTATTTATGATAGTCACAGAGAGAGAGAGAGAGAGAGAGAGAGAGAGAGGCAGAGACACAGGCAGAGGGAGAAGCAGGCTCCATGCACCGGGAGCCCGACTTGGGACTCGATCCCGGGTCTCCAGGATCGCGCCCTGGGCCAAAGGCAGGCGCTAAACCGCTGCGCCACCCAGGGATCCCTATGTTTTTCTACTGAGTAGAGAAGCTTCATCTACTAATAAATCCGTCAGCCTTTGAAATCAGGGGGCCTTTTTCAAATTAAGTGTGCAAGCCATGCTTTATTTTAAGAATTCATGCCTGGATTTTCAAAGAATCATCTAAGAAGTTAACAGAGTTTTGCATAATATACGAAGACGACTACTGGCTTATTGTTTAAAACAACATATGATCCACAAACTTAGCATAAAAGATAAATATTATTAGCGGCATCTTAAATTTCAATTTAATATTAGAAAGATTTAGCTTAAAATATTCTGGATTTTTGTTGTTTTAAGATTTTATTTCTAAGTAATCTCTATACCCAACGTGGGGCTCAAGCATACAACCACAAGATCAAGAGTCGCATACTCAACTGACTGAGCCAGCCAGGTGCCCCAAGACATTTTGTCTTTAAGATCAGGTCTTGCACACTGTGGGTTAGAGCATAAAAATCCTCTTTTTGTGGATAGTCCCCTTGTTTCTCTTATTGAGTCTGAACTGATATGTTTAGAAAATAAGTACTTTGGTTTTTCTCTTTGGAACTCATTCATATGGCATATTCAATTCATAATAAGTATTATCTGTGTTCATACTTATCGAAGAAGCTCTATAGCCCAATGTGGGAGAGTTCTCTGTACTAGGCATTCATTTATTTTGTAATGAGGTGACATCTCTCCTCTTAGGAAACATGTTGCATCTGGAGATGATAGCATTGGACAAATTATCAGATTTATTATATACTCAGAACCTGGGGGTGGAAAGCAAAGACAGAGAAACCCAACTGCATGTCCAGAGAATCTCAGAGCAGCAGTATTTGTAGATTTGAAGACAATTCATATCATGTCTACCATTACTGATAACCAAGCCACAGGACTGAGGCTCCCAGCAAAATTCCATCCCTCTAAACAACTACTGGTGGAAAAAACAAACATAATTTATGAAAAGTAAAAATATTTACTGAATTCTTACAAATGATCAGGTGTGGTTTCTAGACACACAAAATGGAATAAGACACAAATCTGTTCCTGATTCAAAGTTCTTGATGGTAATGGTTATTTGTGATGCTAATGATGATGATAATAATGGCTAGTATTTATTAGAGGCTTAATAACTGTGAATGGGGTATTATGGGGTATTATTACGACTTTCCACAAGTCCATGAAGTGGCACTATTATTTTCAACATTTAATCTTTCTAGTCCTATGAAGTAGGTGCTGCTGATATCCTTATTTTATACAGTAGGGGAAGTTGAGGTACAGAAATATATATAATGCACATACCTCCTGAGTCTAGGTCCAGATGCTGTGAGTTTAACTGCTACACAATATGGTCAAATATTCCATGAGTTCTATGATGGACACTTGTATATACAACTAAGGAAAGAAGTAGGGATATGGGGGGTGAGAATGGGGAAGACAACACTGAAATTCCATAGAATAAAAATTTTTAATAATTTTTCATGTCCTAATATGCATAAACTCAAATTATTCCAATTTTTAAATTATTAGTATACCTCCCAATGAATGACTGGGTTTGTCTCTTGCATATTAATTCATGAAAATAATAAAGAAAATACTTAATCTTATAGGGTCATAACAAAAGGCAGACTCTGGGTTTATATGAATCGCTTGAATAGAGAAGACAAAGGATAGGCCAAATTTTTAACATTAGATCTGAAAGGTTAATAATAGGGTGGGATAAAAGTATATTTTCCTTCCCACTCAACTGAAAGATGCAATACTATGAAAAAGAAAAAAGAGAAAAAAGTAATGTGATGAAATTCAAACTGAAAAAATAAGGACCAAAGTATAGATAGTGTATAGGTATCCAGTATCTCATAGCTTAGATATATGTGTGACATTAGCTTTAATGCCCATCACATTCTCTATTTAATAGAGATTGATAGATCTTGTTTAGAAAATCATTATTATTCTTGCTCATCAAAAAGCAATATCAAACGCTTAATTATGTGACATTATACTAGATGTTGTAGGACAAATACTACATAGATAGGGCCCTTAACTAATTTCCAGTATCCTTTAACCTGAAACATCCTATAGGATTCAAAAGCAGGAAACATGGGACGCCTGGGGGGCGCTCAGTGGTTGGGCATCTGCCTTTGGCTCAGGGCATGGCCCCAGGGTCCTGGGATCGAGTCCCCCATCAGGCTCCCTGCATGGAGCCTGCTTCTCCCTCTGCCAGTGTCTCTGCCTCTGTGTGTCTCTCATGAATAAATAAATAAAGTCTTAAAAAAAAAAAAGAAAAAAGTAAAAATGAAGATGAAATTTTGTGATAGTATTTCTATTTATTTTTTTATACTTCCCTTTTAAATGTTAAATATTTAATTGGCGAAATAAGCATATACCAAACAAAAAATGAAGCAGGAAAATATAACCCATAACCACAAGAAAAATCAAGCAGCAGAAACAGACCTAGAAATGGCAGAGATGATTAAATTAGCAGATCAGGACCTTACAACAGCAACTCTAAATATGCTCCATATATTTAGGGCAGCAGAGAAACACAACAGCATGAGGGGAAAATAGAAAGATTAAAAAGAATAACATAGAAATGAGAAAAATGTACAGTATAATTTCTGAAATAAAAATATGTACAAGGTGGACTTAGCAGATTGGTCACTTGAGAAGAATAAATAGTGAACTTGGAAACATAATATCAGAAACCATTTAATTGAAGTACAGAGAGAAAAAGACATAAAAACATAAATAGAACATGAATGACTTAAAGAACAATACCAAGAC